TGTCTAAAGCTATAGCTGAAATTTTTTGTTTTGCTATTTGTTCTGATTTTATATGTATCATAACAAGAAAGCAAAAAAAAATGACAAAAAAAGAAGAGCTAAAGGATAATTGAAATGCTTTTGGCCTATATGTGTTTGCATGGCTTTAAATGTGCTTTCAGGTGACTACAGTTGTTTACGAACAATAATTGTATTACGAAGAGAATTCAGTTACTACCTTTTGCAGGTCTGCTGAAATGTCAAGAAAAAAAAAATAAAAAAAAAGACTGAAAAAAAAAACCAACAAATTAATACATTCAATCAAATAAATATTATATCTTTAAATATAAATAAGTTTTATCGTTTTACTTTCCCACTCCCTCCCAGTTTTCTCCTCTTCTCAACTACCTCTCCTTTCTGCCAATTAATTTACATCTGTTTTTTCTTTTTTTTGCAGTTTTATATTTTTGTAACAAATTTTTTTTTTGTTAATTTTTAACCTAAGTGTTCAGCAAATTCACTTTTGTGATCCTTTATCTTAGCTTTAATCCCAAAAAAAGTACAAACAGTTCTAAAATCAGTGAAAATTTCTTCAGACAAGTATAATGACCAAAAAAAAAAACTTTGAACTATTTTTTGTTTCTCTTATTCCCGGTGACCATTTGACCTCTGTCCCATTTTTTTCCAACCTATTTCCCCTCTCTTTGAACAACAACAACAAAAAGAAAAAAATTCGAGAACAGCAACAGTTAGTAATAATTTATTTGAAACTAAAAACCACTTGCAGCTCTACATACCATCATTTATGCTTGTCATTGTATCCTGGGTTAGCTTCTGGCTTGACAAAGATTCTGTGCCAGCTAGAGTAACATTAGGTATGGCTTTGATTATTTGAAGTTTAAAAAAGCTTTTTTTTTTTTCCACATTACCTGTTCAAATTATCTATTCAAAGCTGCATAAAGTTTTGTTGAAAAAAAACCGTTTCTTTCACAACCGATTTGTTCGTTCTTTGCTTTAACTGTATAAATATTTGTACGTCAGAAAAAATCATACATTTAAAGCTTTTGTGTTATGGTAAACATTCAATTTAAAAACTGCTATCAATTATTGACCGACAGTGATTTAAAGCACTTAATGATAACTAATGCAAAGCAGTATTTTTTTTAGTTGATTTAAAATTTTTAAAATTTTTGTTTAGATATCAGTTGAATATATTTTTTTGAGAGTAAAAATGTTGTTTAAATTTCAGCTTGAAAAAAAAAATTTTTTTTGTTCACAACAACATTTTTAAACAAGAAAAAAAAAGAATTTTTGGAGAACAAAAGAAAAAACGATTTTTGATTTAGTTGATTATCATCTAAGCAGAAAAAAAAAAAAGCTATCCTATAGACATTTAGACTATTAAGAAAATGTATGTTTATTTTAAATATGACAACATTGGAAATGTTCTCCCGTTATCAGTGAGCAAATAAAGACAAAAAAAAGATAAAACTGAATTAATAATTAATGGTAATATTGTCGGAGTAGCACTGAGACCAAAAGAACACTTCGACAAAGAACTACTTTAAGACCAAAAAAAAAAAAAAAAATTTAAATTTTCAAATTTAAAACGTAAATTGAAATTGCATAAACTGTTGAATAAATAAGAATTTTTTTTGCAAACCGGTAAGATATCGTATTGTTAATTTATTTTCTGAGAAAGAAAGAAAGCGACTAATTAGAAAGAAGAAATTATTATGCAAAAAGTAACTGAGAAATGAAATTTTAATGTTAACTTTGTTAGATCAGTTTTTTTTCTTTTTTTTTTGCTTATTATACAACTAAATATATCATTTATTTATCAAAAATAGTTGTATTATAAATGATTCTCTAAATTTTTTACAACACTGATAATTGTTAATTTTTGCAGGTGTAACTACATTGCTTACAATGACAACACAAAGTTCTGGTATTAACGCAAAACTTCCACCTGTTTCATACACAAAGGTTTGATCAGTTCAATTGATCAAATTATGTTTTTTTTTTTTTTGAAACTATCCATTTTTGCATCCCAATGTCTGTCAATTGGGTATAGAAATGTACCAAAGAAAAAATCTGATATAACAGCAAAAAAAAAAAAAAATATTTCAATTTTTAGGCAATAGACGTCTGGATTGGAGTATGTTTAGCTTTTATATTTGGTGCACTATTAGAGTTTGCTCTTGTCAACTATGCAGCCAGAAAAGATATGACTGTTGGCCAACAACTTGTTAGTTTATCGTAGAAAAAAAAACACTTCTTTTTTTTTTCCTCGTAAAATTACAAATACTTAGTCATTTGCTGCATCATCTATTCCTTCCTCTTTTGAATTGCTTTTTATGATAACGTAAAAAGAAAAAAAAAAATTTTTTTTTTTCTTGCCCTATTTCCATTCTATTTGCAGTTAAAGTTGACGTCAAATAACGTTGACAACACCGCTTATGATTATCAACTACTACAAGGAACCCCGCAGAGGAAGTGTAATCTTTTTGAATGGCTTTCACCAAAATTATTCAGAAAGCATAAAGAACGTTCAAAACGAATTGACATTGTTTCCAGATTGGTAGGCATTAAGTTTTCGTTGTTGTTGTTGTTGTTGTCGATATTTTTTTACTTGCTATACCAACCATAGAAAATTGAAAATCTGATGTGGACAGTGTCTCCAATAATATATATATCTGATCAGTTAACAAATACAACTGTCTATCAATTTGTTAAGCACTTATTTATGATTTAAAAAAACAAAAAAATACATCAGATAGATCAAAAATAATGATCAAACAGCAACTTAAACAATTATGAATTGCATTGGTGTAGAATTGTCAAAAAAAAGCATTTGCAGAATACTATTAGTTTTCTAAATTTAAAATAAGAAAAATTTTTTTGCTATCAATTAGCACAATACGGTCAATCTGTTGATGATTAGTAAGGAATATCAGTAAAGAATTATTAGAAGGTTTACTACAGAACAATGAGCACATTAGTTGTTTGAAGAGCATCTGCTACTACTGTTGCTGCTACAGCTACTTCTGTCAATAAAACCTTATAATTTTAAAAAAACATTCAAATTTAGATCAAATTTTTAACCATAAAAAATTCTGAACAAATGACGACTTTTTGTTTTCGAGTATTTTTTGCTACAGAAATAAAAATAATTGTTTTTTTTGTTTTTATAATTTTTTTTATCTTTTTCTATTGTCCGTTTTTATTTGTTTATATATAACCGCTAAATGTTGTATATTATTTCAGATTTTTCCAATTGGATATGTTATATTTAACGGTAAGTTTTTTTTTTTTTTTTGGTTCACACTTCGTTGTTAGGTCGATAATAACTGTTGCACAAAATATCACTAAGACAGTACAAAAAAAAAAAACTGCACAAAAAATAAACCTGTTGGATAGATAGGTTGGATAGATAAATTTTACATATGACCTATATGACTTTGTTATTAAGAAATAAAAAAAAATGCTTTTTTTTCTGGAAATAGATACTTTAGACTTCTTTATATAATTTAGTTTATTCTTCAAATGATTAAGTGTTAAAAATTGTTATTTATAGATCAAACTATATCAACATTTATGTGTTATAAAAAATTTCCAGCAGTTTAGTTAGCATTCAAAAGTTTTCACTATGAATTGATAATTGAAAAGAATGTTTTACTATCTGATATCAACAGAAGCTAAGAGTAGAAAAATAAAGAAAAATAAAAAGTGATAATAAACTGTTGTTTTTCAGTGTTCTACTGGGTTATTTATACAGTGTGATAAGGTGATGATGATGGTAATAATGGTGATGATGATGATGATGATGATGATGATGATGATGATGAGACTGAAAATGATGATGATGATCATGAAAATGATGATACATGCTTACGTATTCGTTTCGGCATGCAACTACAGTCTCAGCGTCCACAACGTGTTTTTCAGTTGTCCCTCTAACACACAACTAATGCTTTGTTGTTGTCTTCAGCGCTTAAACGTTTCCAATTATGGTATCGTCCATCCATCCATCCATCCATCTATCCATC